TTCCCTTGACACTGACACCGAAGGCTGTGTCAACATGAACCAACCCCGTGTGGCATCGCAGTCCTCCTGATTCAGGATTAAACAAACTCAGACCACAGCATCATGTCACAACAAACAAAACAAAAAAACTCATTTCCAAACAAAGAAATTGGGAGACATTTCAGATATGTTTTGAGGAAACGTATTTTTCTGTTGTTAAGTCCCACAAATGTGTTTCAAATCAACACATCTTTGCTGTTTGTTTTATTACTTTACTGTCGCTCCTTTTAAGCCAACTCAGTGTATGTTAGATCGGTCAGGACTGGTCACACTGGTTAAAAAAAGTAAAAATGGAGGATATGTTTCGAACATGTTGTGAAAGGTTATTTATCAAAACAGCATAAAAGGACGTTCAGTCTAACAGTAGTGGTCCTATGGGGGACCCAGACCCGGGTCTCCTGGGTGGAAGTCTTGTGTCTTTTGCACCTACGCCCCCTCTCCATCCTCCTGTTGTAGTCTTTTAAGCTAAAGGCATCGTCACAGTCTTACAAAGTTCTGACGCTGAAGAAAGTAATAAAAAAATTCTCAAAAAACCTTTAGACATAATGTTGGTAATCCTGACTGACCTAAAACAGGTTTAGTGTAGATAGATCAATCGATAGATCGATAGATAGATAGGTAGATAGGTTTAGGGTTTGCATTGGATTGTTGTCCTGCTGTAGAAACCAGCCCTCACTTAAAAGTTTTTGTCAAAAGCTCCTTGTTTTTTTTTCCCCTCTAAACTTAAATTTGTCCAATTTATTCAGAAATCACTTTGGCTCCTCCAGACGTAAGCTCTGTGATGAGGTTCGACTCCGTATGTGCATCCACAGTTGGCCGGCGCACCGTCACTCCTCTGCCAGCTACACCTTCAGCTTCAGCTTTCTGCTTGCAGAGTGGAAACAGCAACCTGCAGGCTTTTCATAGTCTGTCTTGCTTTGTGACATCAGTTAGCTTCAATTTAAATCCTCAGTCAGCTGATTCTTTAAGTTCATGAGAGACAATTCGACAGTGCAATGATATTTGAAGTGTTTCTGATGTTTCTGTTGTGTTGCTTTCAATACTTTTCACTTAAACTATGAAATAAGCATGAGGTGCTACGTGAGGTGTTATGTTCCTCTGATACGTTTCACGAGAGCGAGGTGGTTGTTGTTTGGCCTCGTCACGCTGTTTAACGGCTGCATTACTTTAAACCTGACCTGTGAAGACAGACGGCTCTTGCTCCGCTCACTGCTGCTCCATCAGACTGCTAGAATGAGGCATGAACTCAACACTTCCATAAATACACTTCTGATAAGACAGATCTTTTTTTTTTTTTTTAAATAATGGATATGATTTTTTTATTTCTTTTTTTAGCCCATGCACCTGAACTGAGAAGTTTCCAAACTGCTGCTAAAACAGACACGATCCAATGTTGACCCCTTGTGGAATACTTCATATATTACACGTATGTGATTTCAGATCATAAACGGTATTATCTATTATAACTCGTCCAAAACTGAGTTTGTTGTGTGCATGAAAAGTATTATGTGCAATCTGACTTGGAATACAACATATGCTAGTGTGAAAACATCTCCTTAACAGCATTCCTAGTTTGTTTTATTTTTTATTTATTATAATTATTATTGTTGTTGTTGTTGTTGTTGTTGTTGATAATATTTAGGGTCCGAGCACCCAAAAGGGTGCGAAGACCCTATTGGAACTGCTCAGATTATTATTGTTATTCGTGCCAAAGACACGCGTTTTTGAGGGCCTAAACATACTCGAAAACTCACCAAAATTGCCATGTACATCAGACCCGGTGAAAATGTTATAATTTGGAAGAACAACACACACCTCAATAGAAAAATTACTCCACAGCGCCACCTTCTAAATTGTCAAAAGCACATTTGGCCTAGAGCTACGCAATTTTGTAGGCATATAGAGCAGACCCTATAGGGAAAGGGTCATGAGCGGGATTTGAACTCATGACCTCCACATTGGGACTGTAGCCCTACACATAGGACACCAGCTCAACCAGGTGAGCTATAGCAGCAGCCCTATAGCATGACTTTTTTATTTCACGCCAAAACTCAAAATGACTTTTCTTTGTGAAATACTTTCCTGAGGTGATTTCTACGACATGCATTGAAGTATTTCCACTATATACTACATCCTGATGCGTTTTCAGGACATTCTGAATCATGACCTTTTTTGACAAAAACGACATGCTATAGTATGACTTTTTTTTATCAGGACCAAATACATAAAGTGTTTTTTTTTCCAGAAGTACCTTCCTAAGCTGTCTTTAAACACATTCAGGACACTTTTCCCACTATATACTACATCCTGATGCGTTTTCAGAACATTCTGAAACGTGACCTTTTTTGCCAAGAACGACATACTATAGTATGACTTTTTTTTTTTTTTTTAATTAGTTTTTTGGCCTTTGTGCCTTTATTGGATCGTGTTAGTGAGAGAGAGAAAGGAAAGTAGGGAAAAGAATGGAAGAGGGGCCCTACAGGGAAAGAGTCATGAGCGGGATTTGAACTCATGACCTCCACATTGGGACTGTAGCCCTACACATAGGACGCCAGCTTAACCAGGTGAGCTATAGCAGCAGCCACAACAGGCATAGAAATAACTTGGATCTGACAAAAGTAATAATAAATAAAAATTCTATGAAAATTAACCAATGAAGATCAGATGTTGCTTTTGAACCGTGGTTCAACAGAATTATTTAAAAAAAATAAACTCATGAAACAGGCCTGGACAAACATGATGGTCCCCCTAGAAAAGACTGAAAATAATGTGACCATAGGGACACGTTCAATCAAGGTGTGTCCTCTAATCAGCATCACAGGTGTCTACAGACTTGTAATCAGTCAGTGGGCCTGTTTATAGGGTTACAGGTGGTCACTGTGCTGTTTGGTGACCTGGTGTGGACCACACTGAACATGGACCAGAGGAAGCCAAGGAGAGAGTTGTCTCAGGAGGTTAGACAGAACATGATAGAGCAGCATGTTAAAGGTAAAGGCTATCAGACCATCTCCAAGCAGCTGATGTTCCTGTGACTGCAGCTGCTCACATTATTCAGACATTTAAGATCCATGGGACTGTAGCCGACCTCCCTGGACGTGGCCGCAGGAGGAACATTGATAACAGATGGAAGAGACGGATAATACGAACGGTACCAAAAGAGTCCAGAACGACCTCTAAAGACATTAAAGGTGAACTCCAAGGTCCAGGTCCATCAGGGTCAGATGGCACCAACCGTCGTTGTTTGAGCCAAAGTGGACTTCATGGGAGACGACCAAGGAGGACACCATTGTTGAAAACACATCATATAAAAGTCAGACTGGAATTTACCAAACTGAAGGTTGACGAGCCACAAAGCTTCTGGGAGAACGTCCTCTGGACAGACCAGACCAAACTGGAACTTTATGGCCCATCAGCTCCATGCTCACAGACGCAAACATGAAGCATATGAAGACCAGAACCCTGTCCCTACTGTGGAACATGGAGGAGGTTCTGTTATGTTCTGGTTCTGCTCTGCTGCATCTGGCTCAGGGTGTCTGAATCTGTGCAGGGTCCAATGAAACCTCAAGACCATCAATGTGTTCTAGAGAGAAATGTGCTGCCCAGCGTCAGGAAGCTTGGTCGCAGTCGCAGGTCAGGGGTCCTCCAACAGGATCATGACCCAGAACACACACAGCTAGAAACAGCCAAGACCGGCTCAGAGGAAACACTGGACTGTTCTGAAGTGGCTTCTATGAGCCCTGATCTAGATCCTATTGAACATCTGTGGAAGGAGCTGGAACATGGTGTCTGGAGAACCTGAGACACCTGGATCAGTGTGCTCATGAGGACTGGACCAGAACACCTGCTGAGAGGTGCAGAAGTCTCACTGACAGTCACAGAAATGGTTTAATTGCAGTGATCACCTCAAAAGGTTGAGCAACAAAATATTAAGTTAAGGTACCATCATGTTTGTCCAGGCCTGTTTCATGAGTTTATTTTTTAAATAATTCTGTTAAACCACGTTTCAAAAGCAATGTCTGATCTTCATTGGTTAATTTTCATTGAATTTTTATTTATTATTACTTTTGTCAGATTCAAGTTATTTCTGTGACCGTTGTGGGTTTTTCTTTCATTAACAGAGGTGTACCTGATATGATGAACGTCCATCAGCACAGACACCAATTTTCAGAGAACAGCGTTGCACAGAAATGGACTCTAACAGGGAGGAGCAGCAGATATACAGAGCTCCATGTGTCTGCTTGTCTACAAGTGTCTTTTTAAAACATGTTTTTGTTTAAACTGCGCTTGACGTCTTTTTATATATCAGAGCACTGTGATGTTGTGCTTCGATAAACTGAACATGGTGACACTGTGCAGTCATAAGCCTGTTAAGGACATACTGTCTGTCTGACTGTCTGTCTGTCTGTCTGTAGGTGACACCACCAATCATCATGAGTGTGACCTCCTGTCTCACAGGTGCAAGCCACAGGATCATATCAGAAGAAATTAGCTTTTAATTGTGATAACTGTCATGCCAGTCAGTTAAGCCATGTTAATTATAGTTTTATATAAACAACCAAAATAGATCTCTTTTCAAACAGCACGTGTCTTTAGATAAATGTGTGCAGAATGTGATCTGCTACCAGGATTAGAGCCACTTTAACATACAGGGTTTTTTCCACAGACTTCGTGAATAAAGTCATAATATTACGAGGGGAAAAAACGTCGAGAATAACGTACAGATGAAGCATCTCGTGGTTTGTGAATGACAACTCCCCCAGATGCTCCACGGCCCTCATTTAACAGCTTTGCTCTTCAGGACCGGTTTAAATGTCACCGCTTCAATCTCGTAAAGTTACGACTTTTTTCTAGAAGTCTGTGGAAAACTATTTTTCTTAATGTGACCCTAATACTCCGTCGTAATTTGCTCCAGAAAAATAAAAAGAAAACGAATTCAGTGATTCTGGTCCGGCTCGGTGCGCATGGTGGATGGGGCGCCCCCTGGCGGCCCCTGGCGGACCCAGCGGGCTCCAGGTGCGCCTGCGGTCACTGAGGCGTCACTGTGTGCGCGAGCCGACCGAGCGGCGGAGATGATGGACACCGAGCAGAGCCAGGTAACCCCGAACCCCTCAGCTCTGGCTGTGTGGTTCTGAAGGCGGCGTGTCGCTGGACGGAACCGGAGCGGCTCAGAGCGGTTCTGTGTCTGAGCTGCTGTGAACTGAGTGAAGTTTGTTTGTGTCGCTGCGCGTTGAGCTCAGTTCGGCTGTTTGAGCCTCAGCTGCTGCTCGTTACTCTGATGGAGCTGCTGCTGGTCAGCGGGCCGGCTCCTGTGTTTTGTTTTGTTGTGGTTTGGTGGTGGTGTTTTTTTTACTAGAAATGACAAAAACAGGAGCTGAAGTGAGTTTCCAAACACTTGTCGTGTGTTTTTACCTTCCACGAAGCGCTGGTGGTGTCGGAGCGGCCCGTGGGCCTGCAGCACAGTTCACACCTTTGACTTTTATCTTTGACTTGTTTTGGAGCAGCTTTGGTGAACATGTGGACGCAGCCTGAACAGTCTGAGAACACCTGCTGGTCTGCACTAGTTGTGACTTTAACATTGGTTTAGTCCCAAACAGTCACTGATTCAACTCCTACAAACTCATCTGTGCGTTAAAGCTGCACGTAGACGTTTTTTTTTTGTTTTTTTAAATTGAAAACAACCGTGTTGTGCCTTGAAACAGCTTAAACATAACTCTACGTGGTTGTTTCATGTCAGCTCGAGCACACCAGCTCACCGTTGAGCCCAGGAACCGACTCTGTGCTGCACAGCTACATGTTAGAATACTGGAGTAACCGAGTCATAAGGAACCAGTTGACAGGTTCGGTTCCTTGGTTCTGTTACATAGAACACCTCAAGTCTGTGTTTTTGACAGTGTTCTTGGTTCTTTGCAGCTTCAGGGTGGAAGAGGAGATCACTGGTTATGATTAAAGATGAGGAAACAAACAAGCGAGGAAACAAATCTATTTTCAGCTGAAGAGGGTTTTAACAAGTTGAGGGAAACATTTAATCTGTGAAAAAATGTGTGAGTGGTGGAGTCTGGTTAGTTGTTTTTATTATTATTGACTTAGTAGTTATTATTGACTGAAGCTGCATGAGCGCCACCTGCAGCATGTTACCACCACGTACATGTTAGGTGGAGCTGAGGTCACCGTCAGCAGCGTGGAGTGGATTTACTGTAAATGACACATTTAAAGGCTGGAGGATCTTTCCAAATGTGAACATGAGAACATTTGCATCACCCTGTGATTGATTAGGCATAAGTTCCTCTGTAGGTCTTGTAAAGCACGTTAAGTATTCTCATGAGGAGTTGTCGGCTGATAGCACTTCTGAACCGGATCTAATCTTCAGCCATGGGCACCTCTGAGCAACTCACTGAGGATCTGAAAGCAAAACTAGTTGATGCCAATAGAGCAGGAAAAGCAACTAAAAGATATCAAATAACATCTGGCTTTTAGCTTCCATTGTCGGAAATTTTAAGAAATCAAACTGAACATCTGCTTGGCAGGAAAGAAAAGTCTCCACACGACTGCAGAGGAGCTGCAGGAAGCTTTAGCTGCAACAAGAGTGATGGAGCATCTGTCCACTTTGCAGAAAAAGTCAGAAAAAAGTCAGTGCCTGAAACACGTGGATCAACCAGAGTGGGTATGGACATGAGTTAAAACAGAACTCTTTGGCCACAATCTCCAAAGATATAGTTAGAAAAAAGAAAAAGGGACGAGCCTGTGAGGAAATGACCAGCCTGCCAGTTACTCAGCAATCTGAGTGGAAACTCTCTGCTGGGAGCTGCTCTCATTGAGAAGTGTAGGTTTTGAATATATGCAGAGTTTCTGCAACAGTTGAGGACATGCTGTGTATTCAGACTGAATCCAGCGTGTCCCAGACCTTCACACCTTCACGTCTGTGGATGACTGTTGGTGCACAACTGGACAGATGTGCTGCAGGAGGCTGCTGTGAACAGGGGGATCCACAGGACTCTAAATGCAGTGTTGGAGTGGTATCAGGACAACTGTGTGCATCAAGTGTGCATTCGCTGTTCTGTATGATGGAATTTTTCCACACACGTACTTACAGGCGGTGTATGAATGTGCCCTAAAGGAAAACCCTACCAGTAGTTCACATCAGCGTCTGCTGTGAGGCATCGTAAAAGTCGTATGAAACCTCTCCAGGGACGCTGCAGTGTGACGTCTGATAAAGGTGCTCAAAGGATGTCACTGGAGTCAGTGTCAGGTGGGTCTTAGAACTNCTGCAGCTTTTTTCCAACACATCTATGAAAAGACTCGGAAACGTGAAGAGTTCTGTCAACAAATCTCTAAAAAGCCATTTGATATTAAAAATTAAAATGTCCCATCTCCATGTTGTGGTCAGTGTGGGACGGCCCGGCCCCAGGATCCCGCTGTGAGATCTATATTAGCGGGATCCCTCGGGACGCCTACGAGGACCTGCTCATCCCCCTGTTCAGCTCCGTGGGACCACTTTGGGAGTTCCGGCTGATGATGAACTTCAGCGGCCAGAACCGCGGCTTCGCCTACGCTAAGTACGGCTCATCAGACGTGGCCACCGACGCCATCCGCCTGCTGCACGGCCACATGCTGGAGCCTGGCTTCCACCTCAGCGTACGCCGAAGCATAGAGAAGAGACACCTCTGTATTGGAGATCTGCCAGCTGCTACCAGGCAGGAAGACCTTCTGCAGGTACCACTGACCTCTGGCACGACTTTGGTGGAAACATGTTTTTCAGATGAGAGGGAAGAACAATACAATTCATTCAGTGTCAATAAGAAGTGACAAACATCATCTTCTATCTATGAAAAAACCTCCACATATCTGCTGTAGATTAGATTTTCTGGTGTCGTCTGATTGTTTACTTGTTGAACTCTTTCTCAGTTAGGTCTTAAATATCCACTTGAAACTGCCTCCAAAAGCAACCAGTCCATATAAACCCAGTGTTAAAATGTCCAGAAATTAATGGGGCTGGACCCAAACATCCGAATAATCGGTTGTTGTGATATCCAGATATCATTTTTGAGATCCAAATATTTGCCTGCTACCACTGTGACCGCTAACCTAAACTGGCATTAGCAGCTAAATACTGCCTGTGCATTCCGGCCGCTTCCACCCCGTCGGAGCGCTAATTTATTAGCAACAAAAAATAAAACTCTCCCATTGGCTCACACCAAGGCTTAGAGGACATCACATCAACAGAGAGAAGCTCTGATTGGTTAGTTAGCAGAAGGCTCTCCTCTCTGGGGCCTGAAAATGACACCACTGCTGTGTGGATGAAGCCCTTTCTAACTCATGTGTGTTTGCAGGTGCTGCGTGTATTTGCAGAGGGGGTGGAGCGAGTATCCCTGAAGGCTGGGCCTGGAATAGACGGGGTGACCGCTATCGTCGCCTTCTCATCCCACCATTATGCTTCTATGGCCAAGAGGGGGTTGGTGGAAGGTAGGAGAGCTCCTGTAGATCAAGCCCTGTGTTATGGGGTAAACATTGTCCATTTATGCACCAGGCTCGCCAGCGTGCACAGTATGAACAGTGATCATTGACCAGCAGAGGGCTTAACCCTTGACATAGTCGGGTTTTGTTTGTGTTAGCTGAAACCCCAGTGACAAATAATGGGTGGCAGGACGATGGGTAGCTTAATAATCATCTTTCATGTAAAAGGCGGCATTGAGGAATAAAAAAATGTGATTGTTAAGAGTGCTGCGGCTGCAAACGATGCCAGAGAGAAACACTGGTAGNTGAGACTTATGCAGTGTAGAGGTGGACAGAGTTCTCTGAGGCTGCATTTTACCAAAACATGTCAAATGCAAACAGAACAACTTATCAATGTTCCATAAATGTCAGTGCAAGCTGCAGTTTGCTGCTGTTCCCTACATGCCTCACTAGTATCAGCAGACACTACAGTGAACTGATGTCCAGGAATTGCCTCATAAGACTTGACATACGGCGGCTAAAAAATGTGTTGGTTTGAAAAGAGTGAAATAAATTGTGATGTTGTGTCTGGAGCTCCGTCTGAGTGTTCATCATCAGCTGATCTGCTCGTCCAGGTTCATTTAAAGCCAATCTCTGTCAACATTACGACACTGAAGATAATTCAGTCTAACGTTTCCAATCCACTTAGAAAACAATGAGAAGCTCTACATGAGGTTAGAATAAAGGAATCAGTGTAAACAGAGGAAACGCAGTCATGTTACAGATGTTATCATGAAAGTTGCAGAGGGGCTGCTACTTACAGGTTGTTCCTGCTGTGTTTCCACCTCAGGTGCTGAACCTGGAGCGGGTGCGAGCTCTGGAGACCTGGCTGACAACAACCAACACCAAGCTGACTCAAGTGAATGGCCAGAGAAAGTATGGAGGACCGCCTGAAGGTGAGGGAGGCTGCAGCCGCTCATCTCCAGCACACTGCCCTCAGACACGCTCCAATGCAGCCTGCTCTCTGGAGAAACTAAAAGATACTGATAGGTGGAAATTAGGAGTGAGGTAATGAGTGCTGTGTGAAAGTGATGAAAGAAGATCAACACCATGACTCAGCTGAATGATAAGAAACAATATAAACCACATATAACTTGTGCTTTCTAGGTTTAGACACGACTGTACGCTGTGTTTGCTTCTTGGACCTGTGAATGTTAAATTTATGAAAGATATTAGTGAAAATATAAGTTGTGCATCCTGGTTACATATTTTATTTAATAAACACTGGCGGCCTTTTCTTCAGAACAACAACAGGCTGAATCAGTAGAAACGCATACAGTGAAGCCAGAAGTCGACAACAATAAGAACCAACAGGTTGAAAATCGCATAAACATGTCAGGCATTGTGTTAGAGATGTAAGTGAATTCTAACAGGTTCTTTATGGTTTTGTTTTGTGTTTTCTAACAATGGCCCATCCATAAAATCACACAAGCCTTTTTCCAGTAATCAGTAGCAAGCCTTTATTTGTTCTTATTGTTACCAACCAGGTTTTTATGTGCAAACATGCTTTTCTTCTGGATTTTTATCTCGTTCTCTTTTCTTAGATGCTGTTCATTTAGACAGGGTTAACAGGTCCATCAGCTGTAAAACACACCGAAAGTATTCCACAATACACAGGTCACTCTCAGAGATGGAACCTAATATAAGTTCGCTGAGTTCTTTAGCTTTAACTACCAACGTGACGAGACAGCTGTTTTAGAGGAGTCTAGAACATGGTATACATTACTAATATCATTAGATATGTTTTTTAGTAAAAAGGTCAAATAAAACTATGTAATAGTTAAAATTCACCACTTGTCATCTCTAATTCAATGTTTTCCTTCCTTTTGCCACTTGTTTATGTCATTTCCAGCCAAAGGAACCTGTTGATCCAATACAAGTTCACTGTAAATCCAATGCTAGGTGATGGGTATGATGGGCCGAACTGTACATAACGATAAAGGATGGAAGCTTTGTGTTGAGTTGGGAAAGTATTTGGTTTAATTAGTTAATTAGCTAGATGAGACATCTCTCCTCTCAACCTGCCGTGCAGAACTTTCATCTCCCCCTTCTGGGACACCGTAGACGCTTTTAGAGTTTTTGCTCATGTTTGCTGTCACTAGCCAATGTGCAGCTGTTTCATTATTTTATTGCTTCCACCAGAGCATTTCCTACTGTGGCGGGACGTTATCTGTGAA